GTACGAAATTCAAGAGCAAGAAACCCAAGCTCAACTCAGGTGTTGCCGCTGCGCGGGATGATCTGGACGATGCGAGAAGTGGCGGTGCTGATCCATATGCTGCTGGTGGTTCTCCTCCTGATGCCGCTGCAGGTATCCCAGAAGTTGTGGACGCAGATATGCTCGAGGTCGACAGCGACGGAGAGTTTTGCCAGGACGACTACGTCCGCCAGCTCGCAGCCGATGTCCTCTCCCAGAAGATGGCCGAGCGCCGCGACGAGCTCATCAAGGACCTCACCAACCTCGTCTCCACGACGGTTTCTGACCAGGTCAAGGATTTTGCTTCTCAGCTTGCTGACCATGCTGTTGCTGCTGGGAAGCTGGCAGAAGGGGCGCAACAACTTCCCGACATGGCCCGAGACGCCTCGGAAAAGTTCTGCTCGGGGAAGCTCGACGTCTTCCAGCGAAGGTTCCAGGGGCAGCGCGGGGGCCACAATATCAAGCTCCGTGCATTTGAGAGCCGTCTCGACGAGCAGGATGCAGTTCACACCCTTCGAGAACATGTTTAAGAGCTCCGAAGCGCCTTGGCGCTCGCTAGCGCTGAGCCAACGCCCGCTCCAGCCAGCGCTGCTGGCTTCGACCGCGACGTCGACGCGCCCGTTATCAGGGTTATGGCTTCCGAGCTGGTCAAGCCCGAGTCCGCGCGGCAGGTCCTCTCCGACTGGATTTGCCGAGGTCGGAGTCGAGGCCGAGTTCTTCACCATCGCAGCCGCCGAGGACGTCGCCCGCCACTTCGCGATCCTGTTCGCTGGCGCAGTCGGCCCCGCTGCTCGGCGCGTCACGCAGGCCCTCGGCGCGCAGAGGATTGCCGATGGCCAGTGGAGGCGCTTCGAGGTCACAGCGACGGACAACCTTCAGTCCACCCTCCTGTGCGGACAAGAACCCGCGGCAGATCAAGCTCGAGATCAAAGGGCGCAAGCTCCGCGGTGCCTCCCGCAACGTCGACAGTTCCAAGCGGTGGTTCTTCGACCGCGAACCAGGCTACATCGTGGCTGGTTGGGGCCCCGCGCTGCGCATCATGCGGAACCCCGGCAACATCGCCTCCGAGATCGCGTGGGCTGGCGACATTGCTCAGACACTCGGCCTCCCCAAAGAGCGCTTCGCAGGAGCAGCCGAGTCGATCATCGCGCCGCCAGAGGCCGCCGAGTGGAGTCTTCGAAGGGCTTGCTGCTGTCATTCACGGCCGCCTGGCTGGGGCGCCGCCCGTCTCCTCCTCTTCGTAGAACACTCGGGCGCGGCTGCAATGCCGCGGGGCACGCGCGTGGCCGAAGCTCGCCTACCTCGTGCGCCTGGACTTCGCCCGCGGTGCGGTGGCCCTCCAGGAGGTGCACCAGGGCGAGGTGCAGCTGGCCGGCTTTCTCGCCAAGGGAACGCCGCTCGCCCGCGTCTACACCAGCTACTGCGCGGGCTCTGCAATTAAAGGTGGTGCCGCTACTTGTCCCCCTTCGGGTTGCGAAGCAGAAGTTTCGCATCGCTCTCTTGTGCCTGGGCAAGTGCCGCGCGCTCCGCTTCGCCTGGAGGGCGTCCGCGTCTTTCATTTCAATGCGCGCAACCGCGGCTTCACCATCGCGCAGCTCAATATGGCTACGAAAACTTTGGCAGCTGACGCGAAGGTGGCGCGGGGCGACGCTCTTCGCAACCAGGTGATCTTACATGGCGACGTGGACTTCGCTCCGAGGGAACCCGCTTCTCCTGCATCAGCCTCGCCGCCCTCTCGCCGAGCGCAAAGGTCAGCGCGCGCGAGCCGCCCGCAGGACGCACGCGGTTCGCTTGCTTGCCGAAATCTCGCCGGGCGAGCCCACTCGCCGCGACGATGCCTCGCGGCCGATGCCGATATTGGACAGAGTGTGGGTTAGCTGGCCCGGGCAGCTTCTCGCGCAGCTTGCCTCTGAGCCGCGGGCGACGGGCTAACCCGAGGATCTCGCCGGCCGCTTTGTCAGCGAACACGCGGCTCACATGGTCAAGCCTGCCCAGCGCATAGCCAGGCCGCGCGGTGCGCATCGCATTCCTCGCCATCTGTCTGAGTCCGAGATCTTCCAGAAGCAGCTGCAGACCGTCTGCAAGCAGCTCAACTGCGATGAGAAGAGCCCCCATGCGGCAGATCGAACTTCGCAAGTGGGTCATCAGGGAGGTCGCGGAAGAAATTCGCAACCGTCAATTTGCACGCGCCCCCGAAGCTACATCGACGCTGCTTCTACTGGTGCGGCCGATGGCAAGAGCGGTGCAGTGCAACGACGTAATGCTGGCTAAGAAACTCGCCAGCAACCGCAGATCTGCTCGCGACTTCCTGGGCGCCCGTGACCAACGGGATCTTCTTCGCCGCGCCGCATCCTTCCAGCAGTGGTGCGATGGCATCCTACGTCGACGCGCTGATGGGCTCGGTTGCGCCTTGAGGAGCAGCTCGCGCGCCCTCGCGCTCCGCGGGCCCTCAGGCGCCAACTGGCTGCACTGGGGCGCCGCTCTGCTTGTTGGTTTCTCGTCGACCGTCGCCGTGTGCTACGCGCTGTCAAACGCCCGCCAGATCCAAACAATGCCACTCGCGATGCGACTCTGATGGCCGAGCGCCAGATCGATCACGAGGCTCCGATCTTCGTCGCCCAACGCCGAGCCGTCGCGCAGCCCAACATCGAGCTGCGCGCCCCCGTCCTGGAACTCGGCAAGGTGGCTCCGCCCTCGCCCGGCCTTCCCCGCCAGTCTGCCCTGGAGATGCACTACTCTGAGCCTGGGCTAGACTCTATCCCTTATTTGGCGTGGGCAGCCTCACCTATTGGCGCGGGCGCATTAGCAGATGCGATGCTGTGGATCCTGGGCGGGCAGGCTCTCTTCAACAGCGCCGACGACGCGTTGCAGGTCTGGCTGCCGAAAGGCGAGGGGATCGGCGACTCGCCAGCTGCCCGCGCCCCTAGTGCAGCGCGCGCCCTGGGCCCCCGCAGTGCGGACATCAAGATAATGGTGGCCGCCATCGACCTCCAGTTCAGCAAGCTTCTCGTGGACTGGGCCCCCCGCTCTCAGCGCGGAGTCATCCCGAAGCGCAGCGATGGCGTTAACGTGCTCGAGCTCGATGTCGCAGCGCGCGCCTGCTCGAACTCGCCAACGGCTGCTCGCGATCTTCCAGCATTTGTCGCTCTGGATTCTGGCGCTGTCTTCCCGCGCCTCGCGCAGTCCTTCATGGGGGTGGTCTTCAGGCAGATGCGGGCCCCTTTCGTTGTCATGGCCGTGTTAGAGCAGCTCTACCACATCCTGGACGCGATGGCGATGCGGTTTCCCAACCTTTGCGTGGCGGGTGCCCTCGGTCATTGTGCGCGGGTGCTCCCTGAGCGGCTCCATCTACGCTGCGGTCGCGGCCCGCTTCCGTTTATACCTTCAAGCCCGACTCGAAGCCGCTCTCCGCGGGCTGGCCCGCGCCTGTGCCGACGACGTCGATTAAGTGGCAAAGCAACTGCAGGCTCTCAGGGCGATCGCCGATGCGATGCGGATTGCAGAGGCCATCGCCGCACTGTCGCCGAAGCTCGCCAAGCGCATGCCGGCTCCGTTGCACGCGCCGTTCTCGGAGGTGATAGTCGCGATCGCGCGCCAGGCTCTCACCTCGATGGCCCCGCTCTTCGCGCGGATTCAGATCGTCTGCGCTCTGGTCTACCTCGGCCTCCCCTGGGCCCCGCGGCCGACGAGAGCCCTTGCTGGCTCGCCCCCTCGACCAAGGTGAAGCTCCGCGCGCGCCTGGCAGACGCCGGCCCGCTCGTGGTTTCGCGACTCGCCACCAACTGCGCTACTAGGACCACGCCCGTGCTCTCCTACGTCGCGCAGTTCAGGATTACGCCGCAGCGGCTTCTCAAGTGCGAGCTGATCGCCCTTTGCGCGCACCTTCCGCGCACCTCTCGGAGTGTTCAACATGGCGGCCTGGCTTCGACTTCGAGGCGCTGGTGCCCCCTCGGCCCCTACGTGGCTGGCGCTGAGCATAGGTGCCCTCGCTTGCGCGGCACAAGACGCGCTGCCTGAGTTCCACGGACTACTTGACTGGCTACGCCGTCAGCGCGATCGACTGGGTGATCTCTCTGTGCCCTCGCAGACGCCGCCCACGCGACTATGCCCTCCTCGCTGGAAGTCGGCAGCCTTCGCGGAGACCCTTGAGCGCGCCATGGCAGGCTCCGTCTCGCCATTGTGCTATGCATGCACATCGTCGCGATGGTCTGCTGCGCGATCAGCGGCAACGGACTGGCCTGCTCGTCCTGCGCTGCGATCTGGCTTCCAGCGCCTTGTGGCCGGCACGATCAGGGCGCGCCTCGCGCCGCGCCCCTCGCGGGGCTGCTTCGTGGCCAGGCTCGCCGGGATGTTCCTTTGGATGTTCGATGACAGTCGCTCGCGCCTTCCTCTCCGTCGCTGGGATCATTTGCTGCGTCGCCTGCGCGGGTGTCCTATGTCCTGGGCGGGAGTTCTTAGAAAATCAATGTGGTCCCTCAGGAAATGAACAATTGCGTCATGACAGAATTCACGACGGGAGGCGCTTCGCCATTCTCGGCTTCCGGGTGCCCCTACCGGGCCGCCAGGCCGTCAGAAAACGATTCAGGATGAAAAGCCGGCCCCGGGGAATGTGTCGAGACCTCTGGGGGTCGACGTCATTGAAACGCGAAGTCGGGGTCTGGGTCTTGTTGGGGCGTCGGATCAGCGCGCGCGGCAGAATGGGCGGTCGCGCAGCGATGCGAAGGCGAGGGCGAGGGCGAGAAACGAGGTTGACATTTAAATTGCCCCTTTCGGGGGCGAGGGCGGGCGCGAGGGCGAGGGCGGAGACGGGGCCGGGCGCGGGGCCTGGGGCGGGGGGAGATGCGAGGGCGAAAACGAGGGCGGGACGCAGGGGCCGAGGATCGAAGACTGACGCTCGACGCGGAGGAGGGGGGCAAGGGGGGCGAGGAGGGCGAGAAGGAGGAGCAAGATGGCGAATGGAGGCATGGGGGCCGAGGGCCAGGGGGGGGCAGCGCGCGGAGGGCCACGGCGATCGAGGAGGGAGGAGAAGGTACAAGGGGGGCCACTGGGGGAGGAAGAGGAGGGGGAGGGGAGGTGGGGGACAGGGGAGGGGGTAGAGGGGAGGAGGGAGGAGACAAACTGAGGGGGAGGGGGGGGAGAAGGGCGAGAAACGGAGGGGGAGGGGCAGGGAGGGGGGGAGGGAACCGGAGGAACGAGGGAGTGGATGGACGACGCAGGAAAGAGAGCGAGGGGAGGAGGGGGGGGATGGGCAAGGAGGGGGGAGCTGGTAGAGGATGGGGGGGGGACCTCTCCCTCTTTCCTCCTCGCCCTCCTCGCGGCCCCCCCCCCCCTTGCCCCCCCCCCCCCCCTCTCATCCTCATCCTCTTCTCGAGCGCTTTGGCCGGAGGTTTTTGGGCCAGGGCCCTGTGCTGCGCCAGTCAGTCTGCGCTCGCTTGAGGGCCTTTCCCGATGTCAAAGCAGGGATTTTCGCTCCTCGCCTCAGTCCGCGGGGCAGGGAGATGGAGGCGGCAAGCCCGCGGGGCGGTGGACCTGTTCCGCGCGCGGACGCCGTCGCAACGAGGCAACGTGGCGGCGCTGCAAGCACTGCCGCGCCACCCGCTCAGAAGTGGCGCCCGCGCGCCCCCCTGGGCCGAGAGGGCCATGGGCGAATGGGTCGCCGTCGCCCTCGCCGCCTCCGCCAGCGCGCGCAGTCTTGAAAGTCGGGCGGGCCGCAGTGTGGACGTCAATGTCATTGCGGTGCTGGGCGTGGCGGGGATCAGGATGGCTATCCTTCTTCCTGCTCGGCCTGGCCCTCAATCCACGGGTCCTGGAGGTGGCGCCTTGCCTGCAGTTTCAGAGCCCGCCGCGATCGAGGACCTCGAACAGACGATCAAATTGCTCACCCGCATGGGCGACGAGGATGGAGCCCAAGGATACGCCCGCCTCCTCGAGGCGAGGAAGGCCGCCGCCGCTGGTCAAGCACAGCCCATTCAGCAACGCGTTGGCGTGGCATTTCGGCACGTCCGCGACCTGGAAGGTAGACTCGAGCGGGCGGTAGGTCATCGCGAGCGCTCCCAGGAGCAATTGGAGGCCCGGCGCGACGCGGTCGCCAAACTGTGGGGGGAGCTCGACAAAGTAGAATTTGTTCGTGCGGATCTTGTCAAGCAGTTGCATCAGCGGACGTCGCCTGCCCCGACCCCGACCGCTATCGTTCCGATTCCCATCGATGACATCATCTCTGGCATGGTGGAGAGACTGCCCATCAATCTCGGCAGTCTCGGCATTTTGGGCGAGGATGAGTTCGAAGTCGATCCCGCCGCCGAGGGGGCCAACAGGCTGCTGTCCGAGCTGCAGAAGCAGCTCGCCGCTCGCATCAGGAACCTTTTCGGGGGTGCCACCGAGACCGCCAGACGGGCCAAGGAGAAGC